AAAAACTAATGCAACTGTATACGCACAACAATTACCCATTGATCAAGACAACAGGAACACATAGAAATTCCACCAGAGATAAGGTTCTGAGGAGTGAGAAAGAGACCTTGGGGAAGATTCGCTGCAGAAATCAGAGACCCAAGGCAAAAATTTAGGGTTTGGCTGGGGACTTTCGATTCAGTTGAAGACGCAGCTCGAGCCTACGACGCCGCTGCTCTTTCGCTTCGGGGACCCAAGGCCAAGATCAACTTTCCATCAACCACACCTTCAAATCCCTACTATCCATTTCATCAGAACCCTAACGATCGCTTTGTCAATCAGCGGTTGTATCCTCAGGAGCACCAGATTATCGCCCAGAGGACCACTCTTAGCAGATTCTGTTGAGTCGTTCAGTGGGCCTGGGCAGCGTGAGACTGCTGATTTGCCATCGCGGAACACCCTCGGTTGCCGGATGAAAGAAGGGGTCGAATGGCATAGGCTCGGTAGAGAAGAGTTGAGAGGTGAGCAGAGGAGCGGAAGAGAGAAGAGAGACTTGGGAAGGGAGTTGCAAGTCGACGAGACTGGGATCGGGAGGAGTCGGATTTAGCGGTTATAAATTTGGCTTCGGGAATGGGAAATACCATGTTTTAATTAGTAATGGATAATCTCATATTTTGTTGGATTAGTTATTCTTTTGAATGAAAGGAATGGGAAGAATTTTTATTACCACAAACCATACAAATAAATGCTCATTACCAGGTAATACTCGTTCCATTCCCTTGATCTAATACCAAAAACCAAACACAACGTTAGATTTTAAACTCGAGTTACACAAATTAGGGTAAAATTCAATTTAATTTCAAAGCTTTGAAACTTCGGCTCAAATTTGGAATAAATTTCAAATTGGATCCAAATTAGTAAATTTGGGATGCTTAATTTGAAAGTGGCACATGGGTACGATGTTTTTGTTTATATTCTTAATTTTAAAGGGAAAATTGCTTACAATTGGTGTACAAGTATCTATATTTTTTGCAATTGGGACATATTTTAAAAAAATATGTATGTATCATTTTAGATTTATCAATTGAAAAATATTAATTCAAGCTTGTAGTTAAATGCCCATCTGGTATGCTCCTGACTATATTGCATTGGTATCAGAACAAAGTTAGGATTACAATACGGATGGACAGAGATGTTAGTCCTAAGTAAATTCAACTCTAATTTGAAACCAACATTTAGAGCTTAGTATCATTTGTGCTTAGATTGTTAAACTCAAGTTATACGAGTTGAGCTAAAATTAAATTCAATTTCAAGGTTTTGCCACTTGAGTTCAAATTGGGACTACAATGGATTGAACCCGAGTTGGTGAATTTGGAATGGGTTCCAGTTGAATCCTAAAAGCAGGGGACCAAAATTAAATAGTGTTTTAATTTTTGTTAGGCACACCCAATAGAATTATTTGAGGATCTCTATAAAGTAAGAAATAATATCACTAATATCACATCGAACAAATCAGATTAGGATTTGGTTTTGGATTCCATATAACTATCAAATAGGTTTTGGATGTGCCTAATCAGATTAGGATTTGGTGTTGCCTGTTTTGCTGGGAGTGGAAGTCTGGCACATGTGCCCCTCATTTACCGTCATGTGCCAGCCCGTGACATTTTCTGTCTTTTTTTAGACGGCAGTTAGTGTCAAGGACCACATTGGTCGAATATGTAAACTTTAAAGATCAAATTAATTAAAAATAAAACTTTGAGGACCACTGTATGATTAACAATAAATGTTACAAAAAAGAACTACTGAGAACGTTCTTTTTCTTAATGATGTGAAAGCAATGAAATTTTATCGATCAAACGAAGTCAATACATCCTTGTCAATAGAAGAAAGCACAACTACAGGAATTTCTTCCGTCCCACAAATACAATTCTGAATGACACTTGCCTGCCTAGCTAGTCTATCGGGAACTCCTTGCAGGTAAGACTTTCAGGTGGTAACAATACTCAAGGGGTCTCTGATTCGTTCCTGCAACCTGATGATCCAGTTTCTATTAAACCAATGTTTCCAAGTGATGATCATGATCAGATCAAATTTCTCAGTATGAATTAATCAAGAGTTCTCATCAATAAGTCATTCTACAGAGGTTAGGAGTGAGCAAATATGGTTGCTTGGCATAACCAACAGATTTCATCTCTTAGGAACAGATGTCTAAATTGAAGAGAAAGATTGATTGAAGTAAGCTTAGATAAAGAGCTTCACCACAGCTTCTCTGTTAACCTGATCATGAATGAATTAACAGCAACTGCATCAAGAACTATCCATGAGGATTCAAATAGCTCATGAAAGAACTCAGCTCCAGTCTCCTCAGCTGCATTTCTGAAAGCAATCCCAAATGCATTTCCTTGAACTGCTCCAAGCCGTGGCTTCCCACAAACTCCGACAATCAACACCTGGTGGCGCTCTTGAGTGTAGCAAACACAGATCAAAGGCTTCATTTTTGCTCCCTTTTCCCGCAAAGCATCCATAGAAAATAGCCAAATTTAGTTAAAGCCTGAGGGTATCCCAACAACTTTGTGTCTGCTGAATCATCAAGCTTTACCCACCTGAATTTACTCCCACTTCTGATAGATCCCTTCTTGGTTATTGCTGCACTTCCTTGTCTAAGAATCGCCCTTTGTACCTTGATAGCTTGTTGCATTCCAATTTCCAGCTTCTCGAGCTTGCTCAGGGACAATGCATCATAGGCCACCCCAAACTGCTTGGAAGCACAGGAGCCATCTGACTCAACAGATGACTCCAACAGTGCAGTAACTCCATACACCACATCTGCTGCAGAAACTTTTGAACTATACCCATGAAGCAGCAAGAAGCCTCTGTAGTAGAACTCTGTAAGCCCATACTCTGGTAAAAACTTTTCAAACATATCCTTCATTCTCCGCTTGATGTCAACACTCATGAATTGAAACTTCTGTCTGCACTCCTCACGAGCAAATCCCATTCGAGCTAAAATTAGCTGCATTCTTTTTATCCCATTGTCACTCCAAGTCTTCAATTTAGTTGCAATGTAGGATGAGCAAAGCATCGAATCAAACAAATTCCATTCTTGTAGCAACATTAATCTTGGCTCATCTTCATATGCAATTCTTGAACAATCGGGTGCAGACACCTTTGTTCCATCTTTTAGAGTCACCAAAGTAACAGCATCCAAATTCCCTGAGCTATTAATATGCTGCTCAAGCTCCATCACCCCAGCTTGGTATCTCTCATTTGTTAATCTCTCGTGAACAAATTGATCAGTCAAAGCCAGACAAGCAAACCAAAGCAATTCGTTTGTGTTCTTCCTCAGGGAATGGGATAATTCATACATCAAACATCCAGATGGCTTACCATGGAAAGTACCCATGTAGTAATATTCTTTCTTCAGTTTCCTAAAAAGCTTAACCGGGTCAGTCTCATTCTCATCCGACAACCTCCTCCTCTTCCGAGTCCCATCTCCATCTTCATCCTCACTTTCACTCTCATTCTCATCTTCACTATCTGAATTATCTTCTACCTCATCGTCACTGTTCAAATCGCTCGCACTTGCCAAGGCTGACACATCAAAGTCATATGACAAATCCGCCTGATGCTCATCATCCCTAGTATAAAAGCACTACCACTTAACAGGCACCAACCCCGTGTGTGGTAGTGCTTTATACTAGGGATGATGAGCATCAGGCGGATTTGTCATATGACTTTGATGTGTCAGCCTTGGCAAGTGCGAGCGATTTGAACAGTGACGATGAGGTAGAAGATAATTCAGATAGTGAAGATGAGAATGAGAGTGAAAGTGAGGATGAAGATGGAGATGGGACTCGGAAGAGGAGGAGGTTTGTCGGATGAGAATGAGACTGACCCGGTTAAGCTTTTTAGGAAACTGAAGAAAGAATATTACTACATGGGTACTTTCCATGGTAAGCCATCTGGATGTTTGATGTATGAATTATCCCATTCCCTGAGGAAGAACACAAACGAATTGCTTTGGTTTGCTTGTCTGGCTTTGACTGATCAATTTGTTCACGAGAGATTAACAAATGAGAGATACCAAGCTGGGGTGATGGAGCTTGAGCAGCATATTAATAGCTCAGGGAATTTGGATGCTGTTACTTTGGTGACTCTAAAAGATGGAACAAAGGTGTCTGCACCCGATTGTTCAAGAATTGCATATGAAGATGAGCCAAGATTAATGTTGCTACAAGAATGGAATTTGTTTGATTCGATGCTTTGCTCATCCTACATTGCAACTAAATTGAAGACTTGGAGTGACAATGGGATAAAAAGAATGCAGCTAATTTTAGCTCGAATGGGATTTGCTCGTGAGGAGTGCAGACAGAAGTTTCAATTCATGAGTGTTGACATCAAGCGGAGAATGAAGGATATGTTTGAAAAGTTTTTACCAGAGTATGGGCTTACAGAGTTCTACTACAGAGGCTTCTTGCTGCTTCATGGGTATAGTTCAAAAGTTTCTGCAGCAGATGTGGTGTATGGAGTTACTGCACTGTTGGAGTCATCTGTTGAGTCAGATGGCTCCTGTGCTTCCAAGCAGTTTGGGGTGGCCTATGATGCATTGTCCCTGAGCAAGCTCGAGAAGCTGGAAATTGGAATGCAACAAGCTATCAAGGTACAAAGGGCGATTCTTAGACAAGGAAGTGCAGCAATAACCAAGAAGGGATCTATCAGAAGTGGGAGTAAATTCAGGTGGGTAAAGCTTGATGATTCAGCAGACACAAAGTTGTTGGGATACCCTCAGGCTTTAACTAAATTTGGCTATTTTCTATTGGATGCTTTGCGGGAAAAGGGAGCAAAAATGAAGCCTTTGATCTGTGTTTGCTACACTCAAGAGCGCCACCAGGTGTTGATTGTCGGAGTTTGTGGGAAGCCACGGCTTGGAGCAGTTCAAGGAAATGCATTTGGGATTGCTTTCAGAAATGCAGCTGAGGAGACTGGAGCTGAGTTCTTTCATGAGCTATTTGAATCCTCATGGATAGTTCTTGATGCAGTTGCTGTTAATTCATTCATGATCAGGTTAACAGAGAAGCTGTGGTGAAGCTCTTTATCTAAGCTTACTTCAATCAATCTTTCTCTTCAATTTAGACATCTGTTCCTAAGAGATGAAATCTGTTGGTTATGCCAAGCAACCATATTTGCTCACTCCTAACCTCTGTAGAATGACTTATTGATGAGAACTCTTGATTAATTCATACTGAGAAATTTGATCTGATCATGATCATCACTTGGAAACATTGGTTTAATAGAAACTGGATCATCAGGTTGCAGGAACGAATCAGAGACCCCTTGAGTATTGTTACCACCTGAAAGTCTTACCTGCAAGGAGTTCCCGATAGACTAGCTAGGCAGGCAAGTGTCATTCAGAATTGTATTTGTGGGACGGAAGAAATTCCTGTAGTTGTGCTTTCTTCTATTGACAAGGATGTATTGACTTCGTTTGATCAATAAAATTTCATTGCTTTCACATCATTAAGAAAAAGAACGTTCTCAGTAGTTCTTTTTTGTAACATTTATTGTTAATCATACAGTGGTCCTCAAAGTTTTATTTTTAATTAATTTGATCTTTAAAGTTTACATATTCGACCAATGTGGTCCTTGACACTAACTGCCGTCTAAAAAAAGACAGAAAATGTCACGGGCTGGCACATGACGGTAAATGAGGGGCACATGTGCCAGACTTCCACTCCCAGCAAAACAGGCAACACCAAATCCTAATCTGATTAGGCACATCCAAAACCTATTTGATAGTTATATGGAATCCAAAACCAAATCCTAATCTGATTTGTTCGATGTGATATTAGTGATATTATTTCTTACTTTATAGAGATCCTCAAATAATTCTATTGGGTGTGCCTAACAAAAATTAAAACACTATTTAATTTTGGTCCCCTGCTTTTAGGATTCAACTGGAACCCATTCCAAATTCACCAACTCGGGTTCAATCCATTGTAGTCCCAATTTGAACTCAAGTGGCAAAACCTTGAAATTGAATTTAATTTTAGCTCAACTCGTATAACTTGAGTTTAACAATCTAAGCACAAATGATACTAAGCTCTAAATGTTGGTTTCAAATTAGAGTTGAATTTACTTAGGACTAACATCTCTGTCCATCCGTATTGTAATCCTAACTTTGTTCTGATACCAATGCAATATAGTCAGGAGCATACCAGATGGGCATTTAACTACAAGCTTGAATTAATATTTTTCAATTGATAAATCTAAAATGATACATACATATTTTTTTAAAATATGTCCCAATTGCAAAAATATAGATACTTGTACACCAATTGTAAGCAATTTTCCCTTTAAAATTAAGAATATAAACAAAAACATCGTACCCATGTGCCACTTTCAAATTAAGCATCCCAAATTTACTAATTTGGATCCAATTTGAAATTTATTCCAAATTTGAGCCGAAGTTTCAAAGCTTTGAAATTAAATTGAATTTTACCCTAATTTGTGTAACTCGAGTTTAAAATCTAACGTTGTGTTTGGTTTTTGGTATTAGATCAAGGGAATGGAACGAGTATTACCTGGTAATGAGCATTTATTTGTATGGTTTGTGGTAATAAAAAATTCTTCCCATTCCTTTTCATTCAAAAGAATAACTAATCCAACAAAATATGAGATTATCCATTACTAATTAAAACATGGTATTTCCCATTCCCGAAGCCAAATTTATAACCGCTAAATCCGACTCCTCCCGATCCCAGTCTCGTCGACTTGCAACTCCCTTCCCAAGTCTCTCTTCTCTCTTCCGCTCCTCTGCTCACCTCTCAACTCTTCTCTACCGAGCCTATGCCATTCGACCCCTTCTTTCATCCGGCAACCGAGGGTGTTTCCGCGATGGCAAATCAGCAGTCTCACGCTGCCCAGGCCCACTGAACGACTCAACAGAATCTGCTAAGAGTGGTCCTCTGGGCGATAATCTGGTGCTCCTGAGGATACAACCGCTGATTGACAAAGCGATCGTTAGGGTTCTGATGAAATGGATAGTAGGGATTTGAAGGTGTGGTTGATGGAAAGTTGATCTTGGCCTTGGGTCCCCGAAGCGAAAGAGCAGCGGCGTCGTAGGCTCGAGCTGCGTCTTCAACTGAATCGAAAGTCCCCAGCCAAACCCTAAATTTTTGCCTTGGGTCTCTGATTTCTGCAGCGAATCTTCCCCAAGGTCTCTTTCTCACTCCTCAGAACCTTATCTCTGGTGGAATTTCTATGTGTTCCTGTTGTCTTGATCAATGGGTAATTGTTGTGCGTATACAGTTGCATTAGTTTTTTGAGCTTATACAGTTGACTTTGTTTGGAAATCTATTGGGCAACCAAGCTAAATTAGTGGACTCGGTAATGTTCGAAACCTGTTCGATGATAATCCCAAAAGAAAAAATTTGAGTATCTAGCTAAATTAGTGGACTAATACGATGTTGCTACAATTCTTAAGATGTTAAAAGTTGAGTATCTTTCACTCCATAATAAAATTGTGGGAAGTTCCAATGTGTCATGTTGACAGTATCGAATGGTTATAAATAGAATAGGCTTTCTTCTTGTCATGATTTATTTCATTAGAGAACCCCTATCTTAACTGTTATTTTGTTTTGTAAGTTTTTTTTTTTTGGTCCCATGTTGTAATGCATTATGAGTTATTTGGGGCTTGTATGAACTTATCGCTTGGAATGGATGTTTATTCTTAATTTTCGGTCTGTTTGGTTGCTGAGAAATGAGGGGACAGGAAAAAAATAAAATTTTGGACTAAATACAGGTATTTGGTCAATTGAAGATGTATTTTCAAATCAGGTATTTGGTAATTCATTTTCAATAACAAAGTGCTTTACTGCATGAGTGCCAGGATAAATCCAATTCCCCTCAGCAATTGTCTCAGCAAAGCTAATTCTTTGTTTACTCATCTTTTGATGTGTCTACACAGTAATTAAATTATGCCCATATGGTCTGGCAAGTTCCGGTGCTTATATCGATGTTGTGGACGATAGGGTTGTTGAGGGAGAAGGTGCCGAGAGGAGCGAGAAAGGGGGAGTTCTGAGAGTTGGGCTCATCTGCGGAGGTCTGTCTGCTGAGTGTGGGATATCTTTGAATTCCGCAAGATCAGTCCTCGATCATATACAGTAACATATGCTTGCGCGTGTATACGAATTTGTATTAATTCTTTAGTGGTTGTATCAAATAACTTTTGGTGTTATGTCAGTTTAAGTCGAATAATGAGTTGGTTTAATGGGGAACTATTGCAGTCAAAATTGGAGTGGGGAAATGGAAAGTTAATGCGGTGTTGTACTTTATTTGCTCTTTGATTTCTTGGAAAGCGAAAGAATCAACTTGATTTTAGTCCAAGACGAGTTGAGTTGACCATTTGTCTTTTCAAGTTGTCAACGTTGAAGTTTTTCTTTTTCTAGACATACACAATAGAAAACTCTTGCAAGTGTTATCAGAATGGAGCATTTTGTGTCATGTTTGCTATCAATGGGAGAGTGCCAAACATTGGAACGGTAAGGTGCATTTTATTCTCAAGTTCATTCTATTTCCAAATTCATTCTATTTCTACTGAAAAGTATTACCGCGTACCAAACGCAGCGTAAGTATAAATGATACGAGGCTTGAATTAAAGTTGGATGGATTTATATAACTTAGCTTGAGTTCAAGTTAACATCACAATCCACCCTAATTACAATCCTAGTTCCGTCAAGATACCAATGCAACATAGCTAAAAATCGAGATTCAACGTGTTCAAAACTTATTCCAATGTGATACAATATATATGTTTAATTAAGCGGGTTGATTAATTAATTAACTTAAATTAAGAATTTAAACAATTTATTTAAGGAATTTGATTAGATTGATTTCCAATATCACTCATCAAAACCTTTGAAATAAACCCAATTTCACTAGCCTGAGTTAGTTTTTGTTCATGTATCGATCTAATCATAGCATAAAAGTTAGCATATATATTACATGCTGCATGTTTCAAATTACATGGATTATATATTCATTAACATCAATTCAAAAAATTCCTTGAGAAATTAATTATAGTGTTGTGTGAAATTCTAGAACTTTTTTCATAATCTTTATAATATTTCAAAGTTTTGGTTGGGGCAATTCATGCCTAATGGCACACAATTCATGTTCAGTGTCACACAATTTGTGTCCAATTCACACCAATCAAGTCATGCATAGCAAGTGGATATACTATATAAATACCACTGTAATTTAGGGTCTAGCATATTATATCTCAACACATATGTAATAAAGCAGAACAACAAAATGGAGAATGAAATTGAAAATGTAATTGAGAGTGAAAATGAAGTGGAGAATGTGATTGAAGAGAAGGAAGAAGAGGAACATGTCGCATCCTCTGACAGTGAGAAAGAGGAAGAAAAAGAGAAAGAGAAAGAGGAAGAAAAAGAGAAAGAGAAGGAGAAGGAGAAAGAGAAAGAGGAGGAAGAACATGAGCATCCTCTTGATTTCAATGGACATTGTAACCTCTGTGATGGGAAGTACGGCAAAAAAGTTAAGCATCACCAAGTTGCGACACATCGCGAGTGTAGGTGCGTCTGTCCAGTGGATCATTGTAAGAGAAGGTTCGCAAATAGGGCAGAACTGTCCGAACATCGTGAGAGGCGCCGCCACTAAGACGCTTAGCAACTGAGCACGACTATTAGCCAAGGGTTATCTAATTTTTACGTTTTGTTAGTTCTTGTTTTCTATAAATGTTTTTAGTGTGTCTTGTTTTATTTTTATTTTCGTTTTGCTTTAGTTTTAAATTGTAACCTTGGCTATTTGACAAATATTAATGAGAAGTCTAGTTATAATTTATATACTATGTGTCTATTAAATTAAGCACATTTTAAAGTTGACGGTACATCCAATTTACACAAATTACACAGATCAAGGAAAATATGAGAATATCATTGGTTTTATAATAATAGTTAGGGATAAAATAAAAAATCAAAATTTTTTCATAGATGATGACATTTATAAGTAAATATAGATGAGTTGAGAGAGAATATAAATTTTTCATGATTTAAAAAAAAACACTAATGTATTGGGATATAATTTGAGAACATAATGCATTGTGACCATTGAATTGATACTAAAATATATTTAATTTTGAGACCTATTAATAATCTAATTACCACAATCATTATCTTCCTAAAAAAAATTTGAGTTTAAACTCGAGGGATAAAAACTTGTTTTGGGTTCATAAGACTAACTGGTTTGATTAGATATGTGCCTAATCAGATTAGGAATTGGTTCTCCTTTTTTGGGGGAGTGGAAGTCTAGCACATGTAGGAATCCAAGTGTCTGTAGTATAACCATACCCATATATGTCTATAATCAAAAGAAAGACAGCAACCAAAATATTCTCTTTTACCCTTTAGTCTTCTACATCTCTTCAATTATATATTAGTCTTCTATTTTATTTTAGTGTGAGGCAACACGGTTTTCGAAGAACGATCAAGCTTGTTCCTGATTGTTGAAGCATCCTCTTCCTACAAATTTTAGATTTCTTTTCGGCTAAATCATTCAATGCACACGAAGAAGAGAAGAGGGAAAGATTTATACTCTAATAAAAGTAGGGAACACTTTTTCTAAAAAATCCACTACCTGGCTACTCTATGTATCATCGCTAGAGACGTCGATAGTCTCATATTCATCCCTTCTTCCACTCTTTATTGGCTCGTTTTGTAGGAATAGAGAAGTCAAAGTAATTGTGAAGGCTGCCAAGAGTCATTCTGAGCTTTAATACTACACTATTCAGCTCGTCGTAGTTCATTGGTCTAAAGTTTAATCCTTCTTGTGTGGTAAACAAGCAAGGGAATTGACTCCTTCTATCCCTTTGTCTCGCCACAACACAAGCTATGATATAAGCTGTCTAGGCCTCACTCAGTTACTTCAAAAAAGGTAATCCTAAACACCCCTTTTTCTTCATTTTTTTAACCCAGACTATCCTCCACACAATCAGCAGCCTCCACCACAAAATCAATGGTGTTGGGTGTGGGGTTTGGCTTGCTGGACTCACTCTCATTCTTATGTATGATTGCTATGCATTAAAACCCTGCTTGCAGGTAAGACTGCGTGCATCTATCTTTTCTCAGACTTCGCAATGGTGGAAACGTCTTGCACCGGGTACGCCTTATATATACTATTCTAATCTTCCGTTTCTTGTTTTGTGTTAGGGCTTGGGACAACAAACGCGGAATGGCCTTTTCAGTTTTATGTTGGGCAGGGCTTCCCAAAGACATTCTTGACTTAATTTTGGACCATATAATCCAATTTTCTGACTATATTCGATTTTGCTCGGTTTGTAAGTCATGGCGTTCGGTTGGATTGGAGGACAATAATTACCACCATCTTCATATTCAAAGGCTGCGTATCCTTAAAGCATGTAGAAGTCGACTTCCTATGCTCATGATTCCTCCTACAATTAGCAACAAAGAAAATCAAAGTTTTTATAGTGTCACCGATGGCGTAATCCTTGATCTCCAGTTGCCAATGTCTTTCAACAGGCGTTGTTTTGGTTCTTCGCATGGATGGTTATTCACTATGGAAAAACCTATGGTTATAGTTCTCTTAAATCCATTCAGTGGAAGAACCATCCATCTCCCAGAATTAAAAGATCCTGAAACTGTTTACCAATTTTGGGTTGATAAAGATGACCATGAATATTTTGTTTCTAAAGGTATATTATCATCTGATCCTTGTCGGGATGTCGATAATTATGAAGTTGTAGTCATTTATAGTGACAACAGAAAATTGGCATCTTTCAAATCAGGTGATGAAACTTGGCAATTCTTCAACTTGACAAAAGGTTATTTTTTCTCTGATATTATTTACTATGAAGGTCAACTCCATGCTATCAACAATTTTGGGGGTCTTATGCATATTGACACTATTAGTGGTGCTGGTAAAATTATAATCAAGCCAACTCGGCGTATGGAATGTCGGATGACTTATCTTGTAAAATCATATGAGAGAGATCTATTAATGGTTCAAAAGTTTATGGAAGAAAATGAGCATGACGACATGCATTATAAGGCTTCGGACTTCAAGATTTTTAAGATGGTACATTCAACCCAGATGAGAACACCATCATGGGTCGAAATCAACAGCATAGGCGATCAAGCCTTATTTGTGGGGAACAATTATTCTCTGACTGTTTCGACATCAGATTTTTCTGGATGTTCCTCGAATTGCATCTATTATACCGATCATTATTTGGCAATCACGGGTCATTATGTCCCTCATGGTCCTGATGATGACACGGGCATCTTCAACCTAAGGGATAGGAGTTTTGGATCGCATTACATAGCAGACCGAGAGCACTTGATACCCCCAATTTGGATTGTGCCAAATTTGAAAGATGACACTCAACCAATCTGAGATTCAGAATGGATCAACATTGTGTTTAGTCATAGCTTACTTTTAATGTTTGATTAATAATTTCTGCTAGTGTATGCTTCATTCACTCATTATATGTAGACTTCCAGTTGCAACAATTACTTTTATAAAATAGAGGGATACAATTTTCTATTGTTTTTATGTGACTGTTGGTCAATTTTCTATTCGAGGTTTCATACAGGAATCCACATTTTTGCTTGTAGATATACATCAAACGAAGATTGCACCATGGAAAACCTACATCTGTATTTTCCATTTCCCGTCTGACAGTAGCACCGAGCACCCAAACACAATCACAGAATTTTATTAGCAAATACAATGCCCATGAGCATTGAAGTTTACTTTAAAATCATGGGTTCAAATCTCGTAGTCTCTCTCCTTGTAATTGTACATTACTAAAAAAAATAATGTTTTAGTACTCTAAACCTATACAAATATGACACTCACATTTTTGCCCTTCCATCTAGCGTCACAAACCAAATTTGTCAACTTCATACATGTTATATTTTTTTGAATATATAATATAAAATTGGACAAGTTTTACTAAGTCCATTCGACAGTCTCAAATAAACTCATCCAATGGACATTAACATCCTTCTCAAAACCATTTACATTGTACCGTGCTTTCAAGCACGAATTATCCCTAATATATAATAAAGGAAGCAAAGTATAGATTGTTTAATTAAAGCAGCATTTTTCTTGGCAGTAAACTTTCAGTCTAGTATGTCCAACTTGATGGGTATTTGTAAGTCCACAACGATAATATCTAATTTTATTTATGTTTAATCCAAGCTATAGTTTGAAAAAATTATTTTTAAGTTGTCTTTTATACTAGGACAATGAAAAATTGATGCCAGTTTATTTGTGTAACAATCAGGACTTGTGGTTTCAATCATAAAGGCTATAATCACCGAGGCTGCTTGTTGTAATTTTTTTTTTTGGAACGATTTGGGGAGAGATGACCGATCATTTTTGCTTGGGTACATGAGAGGATTGACGGACACATGACACTTTTCGTCACTTTTTTAGACAGAAGGTAGCACGAAGGAACACATTAACTGAATGTATGAACATTAAGAACCAAATTGACGAAATTAAAATTTCGAAAACTAATCTGCGACTAATGTTAAACTTCAAGAACCATTGGTGCAATTTACCCTTCCATTTTTCACCTCATGTACCAGTCGGACGCCAACTTAACCAGCGCCTTTCCTTCTCCTTTTTTTGTGTGTCTATGTCTATACTATGGAATTCGAAACAAGAGTCACATAGAAATCAGTTACAAAAAGTATGGTTAACATAGCATTTAAGAAAGGCCCAATTTTTAAAAGAGGGTCTCTAATTTAGCAAAACTTGCAGAGTTGCACTCCTGAGTTAGCTAAGGCATCAGCACATTGAGTCCCTACGGGGAGACTCCCCTATGCATGATCCGAATACAGCTAAGGGCATCAGCACATTGTCCTCATCAGGGGTTTAAAATTTTCGATTAAAGTTTTGTTTGGGTGATTGTCTTCTTAAATGTTGAAAAGTAGGTTGCACCGGTCGGGTGTCTTCTTGCTCAATAGTTTGCGTTGGAGGCACTAAAGTGAGATCACTCAGGTGTCCTGCAGACAAGGAACAGAATTAGAAGTGGAGGTCAGATTCGTGTCCGACTTATTCCGTTTGATGTCTAAATTAGTAAACGCTCAAATGGAGGATAAAATTTTTCTATGTTCGGATGATATTGATTGCATACCTCTGAAATTTAATTTTTTGGATTATTTATACCTTCAAATGTATGATGACATGACATCCTAATAGTCCCATCAAGCTGTTGGCAGATCCTCTATAGTATTGGGCTTGGAGAAGGTAAGCAGCTCCTTGAGATCTAGCATCTTAATGATTATCTTCATTAGAAAATACAGTATTTAGTATATGTTTTCTCAGTATTTAATAATTTTTGTCGAGAAATCTGTCAATAAAAATCATATCTTTATTCAAATTTTTTGATATTTAACATATTATTCGATACAACGTACTTGTGCATGTAATCATTTCTTGCAAACTACAGTATATCATATTGTGAGGGCCGTGCCCAACAATGATTGCTTGGAGTTCGGATCACCTACTTCATGACCCAAAGAGACTTGTTCCCTTGGGACCTTTCACCCCTCTTGGTGTCGTGTTGTTCATTTCTTCATGTTACATCTTTATACGAACGTTACTTTGTATCTCAGTATAGATTATTCATT